GCAGTAGGGGTGGAGAGAGCTGGAATATCAAAAACCCTTTTAAAGGACGCAACAAATTCAGGGTAATTGTAAATGATGGGCCTCTCTGCCTCCCAGAGAGGTTTTGCCCAAGCTAGGGCTTTTTCAAACAGCAAAGAAATCATGAACTGGACTTTGTTGCTGTCTGTAGGAAATGCCTGGGGCAGCATTTCAAGGTATCCTTTAACCTGATTTATAAATTCTTTGCACTGAGCTGGGTTGCCCCCAAAATACTGAGGGAGCGGGACAGACCCAGTCATTCCTCTAGCCGCAACAGGTTCGGAGGCTACAACCGGTGCTAGAACAGGAAGTGGGGCAGAGGCGGCCGCAATCGCAGGCTGGCCGGGTTTTGGATTCAGATTGGCATACTGGTCCAAATGGTGGTTCTCCTGGTCCCACCGGGTAAATAGGTTAGGTATAGGTGTATTGCCTGTACCATCTGTATTCATGGCCCTTGCGTAATGTCAGGAACCAGGAACCAGACAGAGACAGATCTAGATGCAAAACACCTTTATTTAATAAATAACAAAGAAATAACCAAAAGCAAAGTCCAGGAGGCAAGCAGGGGTCAGTCACCAGAGCGGGTAGTCAGACGAGCCAGGATCAGGAGAACGGAGAGCAGCGGAGTCAGGAACAAGGCCAGAGTCAGGAACCAGGAGCAAACAGGAAACACAGGAACAAGGAGACTTCTGGGGAACAGGAAACCACGCAAGGGCAAGGAGGTTCTGGGATTTGCTGCTTAAATAGGCTGAACTGATTAGCAGCAGGGTTGATTACTATTCTCAGGTGAGTAACCGTGGCAACATGCTGAAGGAGCTGATCGTTAATTACAGCTGAAACCTCAGACACTGAAAAAGGAAGGGTGGCTGTTTAAAACAGCAAAGAAACCCTGACACTGCCCCCACCATCAGTGATTCCAAGTCCACCCATTTCCTCTCTCCAGGTGGCGAGTGCCATAAGGCTATTTGCGACAATTGTGTCGCCGAGTAGTAGACTTATAGGTTAGACAGCCCCTGGCCTCCCCTAGTCTTTGGTCTGTGTAGTATTTGTCTTGAAATTCTATGGCATTTATTTTGCCACACTAAATTCCCTATCGCTTGCTGCAGAGGTGCTAGGTGTGTCTTAGAGATATGTATGGGCAGAGATTGGAAATAGTATATCCTGGGTAAGATGTTCATCTTGACCGCATGAATTCTCCCTATCCAAGAGATAGGCCTATCGTTCCAGGTCTCAAGTTCCCTGATCAGTTGTTTCATGAGTGGTGTATAGTTCTGTTGTAGGAGTTGGTCTGAGACTGCTGTCAGTTTAATGCCTAGATATTTAATCGACTGTCGTTCTACGTGTATGTGATGTGCTTTCTGAAGAGATGTTATATCCACGTCCAGTATCTCGATTGGGGGGTGCTAGATTTGGTCATGTTTGCTTTGTACCCCGATATAGCCCTCCAGGACTCCTTGCAAAGCCCTCATTGAGTTAATAGGGTCAGTAAGTGTCAAGAGCACATCATCCGCATACGCTGACACCAGGGATTCCCTACCTCCCACTCGAACCCCCTGTATGTCCGGATGTCACCTAAGGGCTTGGAGTAGAGGTTCCAGGGAGAGAACGAATAGAATCTGGGACAATGGGCGTCCCTGTCTGGTGCCATTGTATAAGCTGAATGGAGTAAGTGGGGCTCCTGAGATTTTCACTTGTGCTCGTACATTGCTATACATGGCCTTAATCAAAGTTATAGCTTGCTCAGGGAATCCCATATGGGACAGAAGTGTGAACAAGTACGTCCACGTAACCCTGTTGAACGCTTTTTCAGCGTCCAATGAAACCAGCATAGTTGGGGTGTGAGTGACTTTCTGCTTCCAAATGAGATCTATGTTCCTACGGGTGTTCTCAAACAGCTGTCTGCCCTGCACGAAACCCACTTGATCTGCATCCACCAGCGTAGCCAAGTAAGGGTTCTGTCTTGTCGCCTGAATTTTTGCTAAGATTTTCATATTAATCAGGGAGATAGGTCTATAACTACTTGGGATACTTGTGTCCTTGTCTGGTTTTGGCAGTAAGACAATGGTTGCTAGCGACATCTGAGTCTGGGGTGCCTCCTGATCTAAATTCGTTAGACAGAGCTGCCAAGTGGGGAGTGAGTTTGTAACAAAATTGTTTATAATAACTCCTGTCGAACCCATCCGGACCAGGGGCTTTGTTCCCTTTCAGGGAAGCTATGGCTAGTGCCACCTCTTCTGTCGTGATTTCTGCCGCTAATGCTTCCACCCCTGCCTGTGCTAGTTTGGGCAACCCTAAGCCTGCCAGGAATCGCTTTGCCAATGCTTCGTCCCCTGCTGTCCGCGTCTCAGATCCCGGTGAATGATTATACAGGGATTTGTAGTAATCCGTGAAAACCTCTGCTATGTCTCGGGGATTGGTTTTAGTTGAACCGTCGTTATGCCTAATGGATGTGATATGTCCCCCTCTTTGTCTAGGTTTCAGGACTCTAGCTAAGAGTGTATCCATTTTGTTCGCCTGTTCATAAAAGGTCCTTCTGGGCTGCTCTGGTGTTGTTTTTCTACCCTCTTAAGGTCGGTCAGGAGGCCTTCTAGTTTCTGGAATTTCAATTTCTTTTTGGCTGTTGCTAATTTTATGAGAGTACCTCTTATTACTGTCTTATGGGGTGCCCATACTGTCGCTAGTGTCATTTCTGGGGTGATATGGATCTCAAAAAAACTTTTGATGTCTGTTCTAATCTGGGCTGCTATGTTCTGGTCTTTCAATAGGGAAGCATTAAGTATTCACATCCAAGGGGTCGCCTCGCATAGCCTCCCCAGTGTCAGTGACACGTCGGCGTTGTCCGACCAAGTGATAGACCCGATGTCCGGGCTAGTCATTCGCGGTAAGCTCCTATTGTTAACTAGGAACATATCTATCCTAGAGTTGGATCTGTGTGGGGCCGAAAAGAACATGTAATCCCTTGTACTCGGATGATGTGCCCTCCACACGCCCACCAATCCCGTCCCTGCCATGAATCTCTGTAGCAATTTGTCTTGGCTCCCCCTCCCCTGAGATCTCTGTGTGCCACTGCCTGCCCTCCTGTCCACTGCTGGGCTTGGTGTTGCGTTCAAGTTGCCCCCCACGATGATCATCCCATGGTATAGGGCTTGGAGTTTGGTCTGTAGCGACTCCCAAAAAGCTGCCTCTGTGTGGTTTGATGCATATACATTAATTAAATGAATAAGGTGGGAAAGCAGGGTGCCAGAAACTATGACATAGCGTCCCTCCGAGTCCGATTCAGTGGATGAAACTCTGATAGGGCAGCTATTCTGTATAAGGATCGCCACTCCATTGTGTTTGCATAATGTCCTAGCTTCATACGTCAAGCTATAGGTGTGGTCCTTCAGTTTGAATTTAGCCTGTTTCGATATGTGCGTCTCTTGGATAAATGCTATATAGGTTCTCATCCTTGTGAGCTCTCTAAATAATAGATGCCGTTTAGCCAGGGAATTTAGAGTCTTCACATTCAGTGAAGTAATTTTAACTGCCATAAGTCCACACTGCTCGATCTGCTACAGCTCGCGCCCACCTCTGCTGTCTCCGCGCCTCTCTCCACTTTGCCCTGCTACCTCCCCCCCAGAAGAATATAGGAACTAAGAAGAGAAGGTATAGTAAAAGAAGGAAAAAGAAAAAAGATGAAAGAAAGTGGTGCACCTCCCATGCTCCACCAACATTGTCTGGTCTTACCCTCCGCCAGACTTTTGTGGGGGGTCAAGACCCCGCATCCCAGCCGCGTCCAGCGTTCAGAAGAGATACAGGTTAGTGAGCCCCCCCCTACGCGCTGTTGCACTTTCAATGATGGCAACTGAAATTTGCACATACATCCCTTAAGTGGTCAACAGTAATAAAACAGTAATTAAGCATGTAGCAACGTTCTACCATAACATTACAATATGTAGTCCCATGGTTTAGGGCATCTGATCCATAGAGCAATGTGGGGACACCTGTCTGTCTACTTCTGTGTCCTCCGTGCCACTACTGTGTATCCCCTCCCTTCCTCCCATCTAGGGACACCCAGTATCGCAGGGGTCGCTACCCACATCACGGGGAAATCCCTAACAGGCTGCAACCCTGTGGTATCTATCCACTATTACGTATCGGGGTATCCCATCGAAGAAACAGCTATGTCGAGTATAGTGGGATTCTGCGTTGGTGCTAGGTGAACCTCAACAGACCTTCTATGCCAATGGGAGTACCCCACCTAATCTGCGGCCCCTCCACCCCCTTGGTCCACCTCTCTTTCCGAGTGCCGTTATGTGACCCACATTCTCCCATCCCGATGGTTAGATCGCCGTGACACCCTGTGTACTCCTACTACTTTCTCCAGATCTGTGGTCCCCATCACACAATGTCTCGCCCCCGCCGCCCTGCTATGTTGCCCCTACTCTGCATTTTTTATGTCTGTACATTATCGTTTCGTGTGTAGATTTACTCGATTATGCTCATTAGTATTATGTTTTGTGTTTTTGTTTGGGGTCCCTTTTTATGTTGTGGTTTTTTTTTTCTTTCATTTTTTTTAATATTATTATTTTTGTGTCTTTCTTTTTTTTTTTTATTATTATTTTGTAACTTTTTTTTAAATTTATTTATTTTAAGTTCCCCTCCCCGGTGGTGTGTTCGTTTTCGCCCGTGTCAAAACCTATGAACATAAAACAAATCTGCTTAGCGTCCGAACAAGCGGTAAGTCTTTATGCGTGTCAGTGAGGTTGAAGGTAGTCCCACACCGAGCTCCCTCCTGAACTGGATGGTAAGGGCCTTTAATAGCCAGAATCATTTGGCCAATGTCCCTCACAACATCCGGCCAACTGTGAAGTGCCAATATGAGTCCCACAACCATTAACAAGCCAAACATATGGGAAATCAGGCCCAGGCCCCATCACCTCCTTTTCGTGCGCTAAGAGTGGACCACCCGTGACCCCCTCCAAAACAAAACCTGAAACCCCCCAACCTCAGCACTGGCAATATATAAAGGAAGCCTGGGCATGATAGGCATAATACCCTCCCAAAACAGTCTCGGCTCCCCTCCTGTATGGCTTCACCTAGGCTTCACCTAGGGTGTCCCCTGATAACAGTTACTTTACCCGGCTCCGAAGTCAGCGCCGACATGCTCCCACCTCCTGCCACTCGGTTGGGAGAGTCTCCAGCTCATGAGTAGATGGCCTTGTCTCCAGCAAGCTACCTCGAGCAGATACTCCCAGGGCATCCAAGAAGCTCCATGGATCCTCATTGGGCGTTAGGATGTGAGTTTTTCCTCCCCGGAACGCCATCAGCCGAAACGGGAACACCCAGGCGTACTGTATGTTCGCACCTCTGTGATAGGCCTCCACTCCCATCGTCCCTGAAGCGTGCTAGGGGCCAGGTCCTGGTATAGTTGGAGCTCCATTCCCTCATGCACTATCTTGACCTCCCTGCTCTTGCGCATCAGGGCTTCTTTGGTCTGATAATACAAGAAGCGGACGATGACGTCCCTAGGGGAATTGGAAGTGTGTGTTTTTATCAATATGTGTGTTTGTATCTGTGTGTCTCTATCTGTATGTGAGTCAGTATTTGTATCTGTATGTGCCAATGTGTACATCTGTGTATCTATGTATCTGTATGTGTGTCAGTGTGTGTATATTTTAAGTGTATGTGCATACATCTCAGCATTTTGCCAACACTATACACAAATACACCCCTGCATCCAAATATCAAGACAACATAAAAACACACCACCATATTAAAAAACAAAAAATGCATGCCTACATTCAAATGCCAACACTTCATGCAAACACACCCCTACATTCACTCACACATATTTCATACAAAAACATGCTTTCATTCAAACACATAAACACTGCTCAGTGCTAAATACGTTTTTTTAAATTGTGGGTGTTTTTTACATTTTAAAATTAAAGGGGGGTGCCAAATATAAGATCCGCCCCGGGTGTCAAATGTTCCAGGTACGCCCCTGCAACCCAGTGACACATTATTAGACAAACTAGAACACGAGCTCCAGGATGGCTAATGTCAATTCTACGCAGATTCTATGCATAAAGGATTATTCAATGGGTGAGAGTGCTCCGCTAATGCTCTCAGTCAATGAATGACTGTCCGGATGGGCAGCCAGCTTCTACAACACTGCAGAAGCCAGATGCACATCATTTGGTTGGACAGGAGGCTTGACCACTACAAAAAAGTTTTCCCAACCAGCAGAGAATGGTGCCAGGTTACTCTTAGCCCCCTAGCCACTAAAATGGGCTGTAATGTTTATAATGCTTAGAGTAACCCTTTAATCTATGACTAACGATATCAGACCTTTTTTGGCATAGGACAAGTTGCTTATTTTCTATTAGATTTGTGCAGGCTGAAACAAACTGTTTCTTCTGCATTACTTTGTCAGATTTCTTTTTCAGGACTGTAGAATTTAGCTCATACGGTTGTTTGGCTCATTCAAATTTCTGCATCTAAAAAATTCAGGAAGGCTCTTTAGGCAGCCAAAAAAAGCAAGAAAAATTGTGCCCATTACTAGGCACTAGAGTTGCAATTAGATTACTATATATCTGGATTAAAAAAAATAATAATCAGTGAGAGAGCACGTTTTTAATGAGTGATTGTAATTGTTTTACTTTTGCTCTCTTGTATTCATTAAAAATGAGGCTCAGAAGTTTTCATGTTATGATTCAAATTATTTGTATAAAAAAAAAATTGAACTTGAAAACTCAGTTTCCCCCCAGACCCTCCATGTGTCTTATACCAACCCCATGTGACTCATTCCCCCTTTCCATGTATTCTCTCCTTCAGTTTCTCATCCCTAACCAAACCCATCCATGTGCCTCAATCCCTTCCCCTGTCCCTTCCATGTGTCTTACTCCCCCCATTTTCTTTTCATGTGTCTCAATTCCCCCCCAGTCCCTTCCATAGGTCTCAATACTCCCCAGTCCCTTCCATGTGTATCTCACCATCCATACCTGCTCTCGTCTATATAGCTTTGCCAAGCAGATCATGGTACCAGATCTGACAGAAGGTGCTATCAGTGAGCACTTCCTGTCAGACCTGGTAGAGTGATGCATAGGCTCCTTTATCAGTGGTGCACTTGGCCACACTGCATACATTGATCGGCAGGAGTGGAGCGCTGTACTGTGCGCTGCCAGTCACCCAGCAACCACACGTACCGCAATGGTGTGGCCCTGCACTGGCCCGTTAGTTAAGTTAGCCCACAGTCGCATAGAGTCAACAGGTCAGCCAGGCCCCTTGGAGTTACGTGCCGGTCTAAACTGTGATCCCTATCACCACTATTGTTATGCCACCGATTGTAACGAAGTTCTACATGTCACTATTCAGGTTTCTACATATTCCTGTTGCTGTTATTTTTAAAGGCACTCACTTAATCAATCTAAATAAAACAACATGTATCTTGTCTGGTGGATAGAAGGCTAATTTTACCCTTGCAGTCTTTAAACTTGTAGCTTTAACGAGTACTCAAGATATTTAAGCTGAAACACTTAGTAAAAATATCTAACATTGCATTTTTACTGTAATTCTATTTACTAAAAATCTAATAGTTAAAATTAGAATTCAACAGACCTATTTAGTGCCAGAGTGAAAGATGCTACTCAAATGAAAAAAAACCTCATGTCCATAAAGTATACAAACGGTGCAAAAAAAAAAATTACAATCAAACATGAAAATTAAGAGCTTACTAATTAAAAATATTTTCATATTATATTATTCCTGGCAAGTCATAAATCTGACAGTTTCAATTTGTTTTTCACAAGCGTAGAACACTTGGTCATTGACCCATTGTATCATTCTGTACTGTATTTCTTTGTCATTAACCCACATATGTCCTTGAAGGAGAGACATTTTCCTGACACCTTTTTTCGAACCCTCACTCTCCTTTCTGTGTGGGAGTTCATAGAAAAACCTCAATGTTCTCGAACTTAAACAAAGAGTCGTTTAAAATATCACTTAGAACCGGAAACCGACTGAAATCAGCCCACACAGCTCCATTTTAACAAGAGAAAATAAAAAGGCATTTTGTCTGGTGGGTGAAAATAATATAAATCAAGCTTTTAGGGAAGAATACATTTACCATTGGACATTTAAAAACTTAATTGTCAAATCGTTAAACAAAATAATAATAATTGTTCTTGGGATGAAAGAAAAACTTAAAATTGAGTTGGTAATAAAATAGTATAAAACAAGAACTTTATTAACATATGAAGTAGAAAATGAAAAAAAATGCACAAATGCAATATCCAACCTAATGATACAGAATAACCAATTGTTTATCAATGAATACCTGCTAATGAAACCACAAGTAATGCTGGAAGTCATCAAAATGCAGAGAGAAATTTGGGATAGCCAAGTATTTCAGTTAATTATATTATATATTTTATTTATGTATTCTATTTATATTTGTTATTTTATTTCATAATCTGAAGCATTCTTGGCCAAACGTTAGTAGTTCGGGTAACAGGGGAATTGTATAAGGCTTGAGGACCAGAGATGCATCTACTACAGCGTTCGGCCTTTTATCTCTGACCGCAACTGCAAGGGCTCTTTGAAGCAACCTCCAAGAGTTCTTCTGCCAGCGCTTTCCTCTTGTACAATCCTGAGCCTGTCACTTGACATAGTGTTTGAAGGGATTCTGTAATGTAAGACTGTATTGCTTATACTATAGTTCCCTTTGACCTCCCTTCCTGCCCCCTCCAAGCGTGGAAAGTGTTGAAACAATTACCCGATTCCAGCACCGATTTCTCACAGCACGGGGTCAGCGCTTTACCTCCTCTGAAGGGGGGCTAGTGTTAATGTGCAGTGAGTGCTGTAAGCGCATTGTGCCCTCCCAGCACTACAGACTGTAAGCTTGTTTGAGCAGGGCCTTAATCTACCTATTCTTTCGGTGTCACTGTGTAATTGTCTCATTTACTGAAAATGTCCACCCCTTTCATAATATTTTAAAGCGCTGCGGAATTAGTTGCTGCTATAAAAATACCAATAATAGTAATTATGCCCTCCCTATAGGAAAATATTGTTTCAATGCGTTCCTATGGGAATTTTACGGAGGCTAGATGTACTCACGCAGAGCGTGAGGACGTCCAGCATCAGTTAAGTGGCCAAAAGTCGCTTAACCACCACAAAGTGCCACTAGAGGCAGTCTTAGGCCTCAATGAGATGAAGTGGTCTCGGTGCCTATAGTGTCCCTTTAATCGCTGTTTTGCATCTCTCCCCAAACATTAGACAAGAGTTAGTGACGGGAAGAGCAATGTATATTTTATTGAAGAGGACATCTATTTATATAGTGAAACACAAGTGGAGGATAAAACATAACCAATAACAAAAACAGGACTTGGGATAACAACTAATAACAGGTTTAATTCAATTACATCAACCCATCGTGCTAGAATGTCTGAGCAGCATTAACTCAAAAGCAGTGGAGAGCTGTACTGATTAAAATACACTTACAAACAAAACAACTCCACAACCTAAAACAGAGATTTTAGATTGTAACATCCACCTAGTATAAACTCCTTAAATGGCCACTTAGTCTGTTGTGGTCACAACTATTGCATCTGAGGAGTTCAGGTTCCATAGTCTCTAGGAAGGAGGCAGACCTCCAAACTCCTACCCATACCATATAGTCTCTGTTCAACTATCACCAGTTGACAGTTTTGGGGTGTTTGGGAAAAAGTGTGTTTTTCTGTACTTGGAGATAATTGGATTAGATTAGTACAGTTCCTGATCCAAGTATCTCCCAGCCCCAGAGGAGGGATTATCCGATTATGTATGGGAGTGTCATGTATTGAAACATTGCTGCCATTGGCATGTGACTTTGTAAATCAGTCTACCATCAGGTCCATGTGGGAGTACCCCTTGTATGGGGATTGTCATTAAAGGTCAAGTGTCACTTAAATCAGTTCACTTCACCCTCAACACTCATACTCATCTCAACACTCAGCCTCATCTCATGATTGTAGGGAACAGCTATAACTGTTATAACCACTAGCTCTTATAAGATCTGTACAGCTATATTGGATTCATGGTCTGCTTGGAGATCGACTTGGGAATACTGCAGCGCTACTCACACTAAGGGAGAAGGACGTCTGCGGGGGTGAACACCTCAGCCTCTCAAGGGGTGACCACCACAGGAGTGTAGTCCAACTGGGCAGACATTGAAAGGGGGGAGCTTCAATTACAGATAAGGTTATGAT